AGGGCCCAAGCCAGGGCCACGGAGGAGAGGGCTGGGCAACCCGAGGACATGGTATGGCCTTCCCAGGCTACCCTCCACACCACTGTGCTGTGTGCAGGTACATGATGATGCGGGACTGCTGGCATGCAGTGCCCTCTCAGAGACCTACCTTCAAGCAGTTGGTGGAAGACCTGGACCGCATTGTGGCCTTGACCTCCAACCAGGTAAGGATGCTGGACCACTACGTCTCACATGAGTGACTCTTGGTGAACACCCAGCCCAACACCTCTGCTCACTTTCACAGGAGTATCTGGACCTGTCAATGCCCCTGGACCAGTACTCACCCGGCTTTCCTGACACCCGAAGCTCCACCTGCTCCTCGGGGGAGGATTCTGTCTTCTCTCATGAGCCGTTGCCAGAGGAGCCATGTCTGCCCCGACACCCGACCCAGCTTGCCAATGGTGGACTCAAAAGGCGCTGACCACCCGCCCATTCCTTTCCAGACCCTGTTACTGACTGTATTCTTCATCCACGCTCCCCGCCGGACTCACTGCCTGTCCCCATTCCCCTTCCTGCTGGCAGGAGCCAGCTGCCCATCAACCTTCCTGTGTGGCCTGCCTTCCCTCTGCAGGGCTCCCCTCTTCGTCATCCTACTCTCTACTTGTGAAAGAGGAGCAAAGAGGCGGGCGCTGGCCAGGGGCCACTTCTTTCCCCCCATGTCGGACCAAGGCCCCTCCCTGACCCAGCACTATCTGGAAGGCTGGGTGGTGGGCAGGCACAGGGCGAGAGTGTCCTGAGTTCTGGTACTGGTTCTGTGATTCACCTTAGCCGTCAGCCCCTTGCATTCTGGTGGCAGGTGCCTTGTCCTCAGGGCTACTAGAGTAGGAGGTCACTGCTTTGGGCCTCAACTGAAGGTGAATTCTGCCCCAGATGGATGGTGCCAGTGGCTTATTAATTCCAATACTAATTCGCTTTGCTGACCAAATACCTGGTACCAGAGGGTGGTGGGGCAAAGACTGGGAGCAGCAAGGTGGCCCTGGGGCTCAGCCCTGAACTGGGGGCTTTGTACATAGCTATGAAGAAAACACAAAGTGTATAAATCTGAGTATATATTTACATGTCTTTTTAAAAGGGTCATTACCAGAGATTTACCCATTGGGTAAGATGCTCCTGGTGGCTTGGAGGCATCAGTTGCTCTATATATTAAAAACAAAAAAGAAAAAAAAAAAGGAAAATGTTTTTAAAAAGGTCATATATTTTTTGCTACTTTTGCTGTTTTATTTTTTTAAATTATGTTCTAAACCTATTTTCAGTTTAGGTCCCTCAATAAAAATTGCTGCTGCTTCATTTTTATACGGGCTGTGTGAAAAGGGAGCAGACATCCTCTGGAGAGGAGGGAGGCCGAGGCCCATGGGCTGCCTGTCCAGCAGGCACTGCTCATTCTTGCAGTTTCCTTGTCATCTTGTCTCCTAGGTTACACACCCTGACCACCGTGACAAACCTCCCACCTCTCTAAAGCTTTTGGGAAGAAAGGAACAGACGACATCCACGACATGGGCAGGAACCTATCTGTGTCCTAGAGCACTGGGCACAGAGCCAAGGCCCAGCAACCCCCACTGCAGACTTTCCTTACAGCAAGGGAGGGAGGGGCCCTGGGGTAGCCCAGCGGGAGGGAGCACTGAAGGGATGAGGAGGCTGTACTCAGTCCCAGGCCATGTCTGCCCTCCCTGTGGGTGAGGTGGCCTGTGACAAGTGACAGCAAACTTGTCGCCCAAGGCTAGCTCTGCATTTAGGTCCCCAGTTTTATCTTTCCCCAAACCTGATTTGTTCATTACCCTCCCCCAAGCCATTCTTCCTACACTTCTTGGGTCTGTGTCACAGATCTTGGCTTCCTGTAGTTTTTCCTATACAGACTCCACCCTAGACCTGTTTCTTATTTTTTCACTGCTTGGAAACTTCTGCCACCTGCTGGTTATCTGTCCTCACCAAGTGGATTCTGGCTCCTTGGCACCTTACTGTTCAACCTATTCAGCCTGTCCTTACAGCTTCCTTTCTGCTGGCTACAGATGGCTCTACCTGCTTTCATTGCTGTAGCAAAGTGGGATTGCTGCTTTACATTTTCCTTTCTGAGCTGCACAGGTTTTGGCAGCTGCAGTATTGATCACTATTGTAAAATTCTCCTGCTTTTCTCTCTAAATATGCAACTGTCAACATATTACAATTTCTGTTTGTATTTAAAGACGGTACAATTTGGTGAGCACAGCCAGGAATTAATTCATCTCTTAAAATAACTTGCTTCAAGACTGCACAGTAGTGTCTTTTGTTGTGAAACAGTGATGATCGTTTTTGCCTCAGCCCTGCTTTGGTGTGTATGAATGGCTGCAGGGTCTAGGAAGGGTTTTGTGTGCATTCGACAGAGGTACAAGAGAAACAGAAGGCACCATTATTATAACAGTGATGTCATTACTGTTACTACTCAAATCACCCACAGATTTCCCCAGAGACTGAGCTGGCTGTCAAATAAAAGATAGTAAAATTGACCTAAGAGAAAATGAAATGGCTATTTTACTTAGATGACCAGATAAGGTCTCTTGGGAAAAGGAGTCCAGTTTACCTAATAAGGATTGTGCTGTTAAAGCCCTGAATGTGTCTGGCTTCCTCAGGGTTAAAAGATTAGGTCCTGGGATCACCACAGCACTAATCAATGCTGCCTTTCTTAATTGCCAGGGGCTGGAGATCATCAGTCCCTGGGCACTCCTAATGTAATATATTGATCTCAGGTAAGTAAGATTGAACATGAGATGCAGCAAGAAATTTATCTTAATGGTAATGAAATCACAGTGCTTATATCAGGAACCACTGGGTGGAGCCAGTGAGCTAAAGCTCCATTAGTCTTAAGCTTGCTTGGAAGCAATACCCAACCTTTGCTGTGGGCATGCATACTCATGGGGGTGGTTATTTATCTTAGGTTTAGCATTACAGACCACTGCTTTACTGGATATTGCTCTCCCCCACCCTTATACTTGAGATTGAACCTGGGCCTCAATATGTTAGGGAAGTGCCCTACCACTGAGCTACAGCCCCATCTCTCACCCATATGACTTAATACAGAACTAGACATGTCATATGTCTATAATCCTAGTACTTGGGAGGCTGGGGCAGGAGGATTGTTGAAGTTAGGGCCAGCCTAGGCTATGCAGAGAGACTCTGTCGGGGTTTGTTTTGTTTTTTGGTGGAACCGGGGATTGAACTCAGGCCCTTGCCCTTGCCAGGGAAGTGCTTATTCCACTGAGCGATCTCCCCGGCCCTATAGAGACCCTGTCTTAAAAAAAAAAAAAAAACCTAGCCAGGTAAAGTAGAGCCATAAAGTTCCTATCTCTGTCACTGTCTCCCTCACACCCCAGTGGAATTTTGTGCAACAGATAGGCCAAGTGTAACATCACTGCAGTTTTGTGTTGAATCCTAAAATCCAAGCCAGGGAGGTTATTAGCAGCTGGTAGAGCCAAGGCATCTGCAAGGAAAGACAGAGCAGGGACGGGGAAAGGAGAAAGCTTCAAAGCAAACCAGCTTGGCCTCCCATTCTCTCAGCTGATGAGAGCCAGAAAGGGGTGGGATCAGCTAAGGCCCAGATGTTAAGGTTCCATCTGGGTCATTTCCTCTTGGTTGCACTTAACAGTATCCTGAAGCATCTTTATAGCTCTGCCTCCCAGATGAGTTGGCACACAGATGTGGTTTCATGATTACACTGCTGACCAGAGTTTCAGCTGTCTCTTGAATCCACAAGGGCCAGTGGTAGAGTTGGCTTGCAAGGGCCCAAGCTCTGCACTGGTCATGGTGGTAGCTAGAAGTCGGCCTCAGTGGAAGTATTTACTTAACTGGGATCTGTAGGCACTATAAATGGAGCTGTTTTTCTTCAGATGATTAGCCATTTACCAAAGCACCATCAGCTAGGTTTCAGCATGGGGTTAGAACTAACAAGCTGACAGCCAAGCACCCAAAGTGACAGAACAAAGAAACATCCATGACTCCGCAAGGGTCAAGTATTTTTTTTTTTTTTTTTTTTTTTTTTTTGCGGAACCAGGGATTGAACTCAGATCCTTGAGTTTGCCAGTCAAGCGCTTATCCTACTGAGCCATCTCCCCGGCCCGAGGGTCAAGTATTGTCATGACAGTGGGGAGAGAGGTGTCCCAATGTGCCTAGATGTTGGCAAAAACAGGAAGGCCAACTGGGGACAAAAGTGACCCCAGGCCTTTGGCCTAACCATTCCCCTTCTGCTCATAGGGAAGGCCCAGAAAAATCGTAGGACTCTTCAGCAGCACATGCAGATCGTTCAGCCAAAACAGGACTAGACCAGTTAAACTAGTAAATCCCTCTCATTTAACACCTGAAAGGTGGACTGAGTGACACCCATCATTTTAAAGCTGAGATTTTATCAGGAAATCACCCAACATGGCCAATGGCAGATTCATGAAACCCATCTGCCGAGTACAGCTCTGTCCCCATGAAAAGGCTTGTCCTCTCATTGAGAAACCTGAGTGTTTAAAGTGCGTGGTCTTGCAGTGAAGCAATGGTGACACTTCTCACCAAGGTGATTCCAGGCAGAGCAGGTCTGGACTTCTATTTTACCTCTCAGAGCAAGGGGAGAAAGCTCTTGGTCAGGTGGATGCACCCGGTCCAGTTCTATCTGACTTTACTACCCTATGACTAATAGTCTTTGTGAAAGACAAGCTGACCAGAAAAACACATCCAGCACAAATAAATGGTTAAGTCTTAAACCCTTAATTATGTTTCCTAGCAAAATGGTGGCTAATGAAAGCCATCTGTGCTGAACAGTGGCTACCTCCCAGATTCCGGCAGCCTCCCTGGCCCCAGAGGGGAAAGTCTACCGGAGCAGCTATGTAGCAGCCAGGCCTCTGTGACTGCCAATCTGTGTAACTTCCCATTTTTTCTTCTAAGCCCCTTTTCCATTCTTCATACCCAGGAAGAATCTTCCTGGGAAGATTCTGTCCCACCTTAGAGTGCTACTTCTACAGCACTGCCTCTCCTGATGAGTCATCCTGAAAAAGCTGGCCATGTGCTCAGAAGATGGCTTTTGAAGCCTGCAAGTTCCTACTCAGGGCTCCACATCACCAACTGCAGAAGTATCCAGGGTGTTGAGTGGATCCCATTATGCAATAACCAGAATCTGACTGAAGAGAGGCACATACATAGGAAGCTGTTTAGAGACACATTGTGGGGTAGGCTGTGAAAAGGTTTAGTGGAATGATAATGCCACAGGAAATAAACTTTGCAGTGGCATTTCTCTATAAGGCCTGAAAAAGGTGTCACAGCAGACATCACCCCCAAAGGTTACAAAGCCCCAGGGTTATCCCCGGGACTACACAGCCAATCCTTTAGCTACAGCAGAGGCAGAGCTGGATGACTTTCACAAGCCCACTGCCCAGCACTGATGGAGACCGCAGCATGCTCTGAGGCAAGTCATCCTTAGGCTCCTTTTGAACTGGCCTTACTGCTCTGGGATGTCTCCGGGGGTTTGGCCTGGAGGACCTAGGTATAAAACAAGGACTTTAGTTAGCCATTGGCTGCACACTTGGACATGTGAGTTCTTCAAAAGTCCCTTTCCTAATATTACAGCTCACAAAGTCTGATTTTGATTTACCTTGGTAATAAAAATGAAGAATGCAAAAAGACCTCCCTGTGCTTGGGGTCACTGTGCTCAGCCCACGTGGGTGTCACAGACTTTTCTACCAGCAGCACTGGTCCCCCATAGCCACCTCACAGGTCAGCCTTGCTGTGATCTCCCTACTGTTTACTTGTGTAATGCTTTCTGCGCTTGCCCCAAATTCCTGCACCCAAATAGAAAAGTAGATAAGCAATTTATTTACATGCACCGCTCTTAATATTTAAATTGCTTTTCTGCTAGTATTTCCTGACATCAGAAGCCTGTATAAAGTACACAACATATGGAAACTGTTTCCATCTGGTGCATAAGAAAGTAAGGATCTGCCTATATGTTAATTAGGTTATAGACATGTTTTGGTCTGGTCTACCATGGCATTGGTTGGTAATTATTTTTTCCACTTTTGGATAATTGTGGCAAAAATGCAGTGGGTAGAAGATGACTTAACTTTACCCAACAACTTCCTGTTTGGATGACAGTAAGAATTAATGTGCTATTTTGCAATACTGTGATTCTAGCCTCAGTGCCCTTGGGTATAACTCAGGAAAAGGCCTTTTGTTTGTTTTTCAGTGTTTTTTTTTTTTTGTTGTTGTTGTTGTTTTGTTTTGGCGGAAACGGGGATTGAACTCAGGCCCTTGTGCTGGCCAGGCAAGAGCTTATTCCACTGAGCCATCTCCAAATACTTACTGCTTCTTTAGAAGTGATGGGTAACGAGATAGGTGTTGATGGTGGCTTCGGTGATGATGGTACAGGTGGCCGCTGCTTCAACTCTTCGTCCTTAAAAATCAGAACTGAGAGTTCAGTTACTGATTTAAAAGAAAAGGTACATTAGATCCACTGCCAAGGCTATTGGGAGCTTGTAACTATTTTTTATTCTAGTACATGTTTCGAAAGGCAAAATCTAGACCCTACTAACATTGTAACCAAATGTTGAACCTTTTTTTCCTTTTCAGTGCTGAAAATTGAACCCAGAGCCTCACACCTGCTAGGCAAAGGCTTACCACTGAGCTACACCGCCAGCCCAAATGTTCAACACACACTTAGTTATTTGAATTTTTTGAGTCAGGGTCTCACTGTTTAGTCTAAGCTAGCCTTAAACTCTTAGCAATCCTCTGCTTCAGCCTCCTGAGTGCTAGGATTCCAGGCATATACCAGCAAATGCTCAACTTTTACACAGTACAGTATTCCTTACTTTTAATACCATATTGAAATTTGGTTTTCTTAATGTATCATTTACAAAAAAGTTAACATTTATCTGTAGTTTGGTGTTTTTTGTGGGGTTTTTTAATCTTTATTTTGAACTTGAGCATAAAGGAACTGTCTGCCCTTAGTTCCCTTCAACTGAGGTGCAGAATCCACCATGTTCTCTTTAGAGGCAGGGGAGGCAGCGGTCCCACAGGAATGTGTGTCTTTGGAGCCGGGCAGAGAAGCAGCGAAGCGTGAGCTTTCTGCCCTTCCCAAACTCAGATGCTGTCTCACAGTGCTCAATGCCTTTCAGCACGATGTGCTTTCCACTAAATCTCTGACTGCCGCTGACTACGCATTTCATGAGTAACATAAAATATGTTCAACCACAAAAATATGTCCCCAAAATAGCAACTCAAAGTTACTTCTCTGAGTTTTGACCACTGTACAAGGGCTGCCCTCTAGTATTTTAAGATCTAGTCCTCAGGGAGCCATAGACTTGCCTGATTCCAGTCTCAGTTGTTCATCACTTTCTAATAGCACTGACTCGACTTACAGTGGACACCCATTGTGTGTGGTGCCATACTGGTAAATCGGCCTGACTTCACAGAAACATTCAAGCCAAGGGTATAGTCTGTTGGCACAGTACAAGCTTGGCATGTGCAAGGCCCTGGTTAACTAGCACAAAGAAGATGGAAAGAGGTAGTAGAACAGATGACAGATTAGATTAGGGAGCCACTGGCTGGGGAGATAGCTCAGTAGAATAAGCGCTTGCCTGGCAAGCACAAGGTCCTGAGTTCAATCCCTCGTACCACCAAAAAAACCCAAAAAACAAAAACAGATTAGGGAGCTATGGCAGGATAACTAGTTATCTGTCTGTAAGAATTACATTAATTGAGGAAAAAAAAACCCACTACTCTTTAGAAATGTTTTTATTACTATAGACAAATGAACTATATGCAGTGCTGGCAAATCTATGGCATAAAAAGCTCTAAAAGGTTCACCATCATTGAACTATAGTATATTCAATTGATGTCTGTTATTTTTGTTGTTGTCTTTATTTTATTTTGTTTTGTCGGGACAGGGTCTTGCTGTGTGTTCCAGGCTGGCTTCTAACTCGCTGTGTAACCCAGGCTGAGCTAGAACTCCGAGATCCTGCTGCCTCAGCTCCCAGAGACTGAGATCATAGGCACACATCACCATGCCCACCTAGCACTGTCTTAATTCCTTTAACAGCCCAGCATGCTACTAGTTCCTGTTTCGAACATATAAATAACAATGTTCCTGTTTTGAATATATAAAGAATAGCAATGTAAGAACACAGAAGAAAAGAACAATCAACGTGATTCTGAGGTGCTTGTCCTTCTGTCCTCTCTTACCATGTATCTGGATAAAGAGCTGGTGCCCACCTAGAATAACTGTGAGAACCTAGATTTATCTGAGACACTGCACTCCTCTAAGATTTCCTTGAGTGTTCCCAGAGGCTCTATAACAACTTCTCTTACTTTTTTTTTTTTTTTTTTT